GAACTTTATTTTGAAGCTTAGGCAATTAAGGATTCTTTCCACATACAAGCTATTATCTGAACTCGTTTCTGAGAATTTTTTGGCATAGGTCGTGGCTGTGATGTCGGTGGTGGAGAGTTCCCTCGCCTATGTCGACATGCAAAGCAACCAGAAACAGCCTCCGCCACTGTTGAGCCAACTGCCTCTAGGATTAGTTTTTTATTCTTGGCTTGCCGTCCTGACGTCGAATTTCGCTGGATTGGGTTTCTTCCTGGTCGGTGCTAGAACCCCGTTGCCTGGAATCTCCGACTAGTCTCTCCGGCGACATTCACTACTCCTATAAATTATGCAAATAATGAATGCATCGTTAATGCACCCATTAGTTGGTGTATTGGGCCTTAATTGCCTACTAGTGTGGCCCCGGCCAGTTGGCCGGAGGAAGGTGAGGTATGAAATTTGATAATGTAATGTTAGAGAGTGGTATAAGATCCAGCAGAACCTTCTCCCAACAACTCGAGTTATTGGGACCAACTGGTTCATGACGTGGTATCAGAGCTGGTTTGGCCAAATTGACGTGTGTTCAAATCTCCACGACCCCCAATATTAACAGTTGATTAAAGACCAAGGTATGGTGGACCTGTGCAAACTTCAAGCCCATGGGTTGGCTTTCGTTTGAGGCATGTTAGAGAGTGGTATAAGATCCAGCAGAACCTTCTCCCAACAACTCCAGTTATTGGGACCAACTGGTTCATGACATGTAATGGGGTGTATAGCTTATTGTTGTATAGCTTTTTTGGGAAACACGTGATAAAAATAGTGAATTTTAGCAGGAAAGAGACATGAATTATGCAACGAATAAAAAATCGGCCTTATGAACCAAAATCAAGTACCCGTTACCTTGTGAAACAATATTGTTTCTGGTAATATGATGAGGTGGGGTAAGTTTTATAGAAACCAAATTCCAGAAAATCGAATAAAAAATCACCTATCCCGTCGGTTTTCGGGAAATGAGCATCTCACAATCGTTGCTAGCTTTTACTCGGCCCGTTGGCCGATTAATTTGCTTTATAAACCTTTCATCTTGTCGTCATTGTGCTTTCCAGTTTTTGTCAGGCCATGATAAAATCTAAGAAAATTAAGAACGAACAACACGATTTGGGATAGGAACCGTCGTTGTTGTATCCCTAGAAAATGGTGGTAAACACGGACTCACCTGCCAAACTGGTTTGGATTGAGATTTTTATCGGGTATCAGGGAACCATGTGATTATAAATTAGACTTGATCAAAACGGGCCAAAACTTGAAATTCAGTCTGTTTGACCGACCCATGCCAAATTCTAATTATTTTCTACTTTTAAACTTTCTATTTGAAAATAAAAAATAGTGAAAGAAAAGAGATGACTACACTTCGCCATTTGCACATCACTTATTCGGGAATGAAACCATAGAAATTCAAAAGAAACTGAAAATGTTTAGGATCTTTTTAATGTTTAAAATAACCAATAGATCTTTCTGTTTAGTTTTTTACTTACAAATACCAAACGATTCCCTATAAAATACACTATAATTTTATCATTATGATATCAAATAATTATATAATATATATTTGAAATGATAAAAATTGGACTAATTGGTTTGGTCGAGGTTGAACCATTGAATAACTTTAAAATATATTATATTTTAGCCACTAAGATATAAAATAATAGCATGATATATATTATGCCAGAGAAAATAGCTTGTTTTAGAATGGCAAACCAATGATGTTCATTTGTTTAACTTGATGGCCAAATCCCGTATAGGTCAGGCCCATTCAACTCTTTTATTTTTTGGTTAGCAGTTAGCCCATTAGATACCATGCATTAGTTTATTGTTAAATTTTTTATTTTTAGCAATATAAGGAGTATTGTTTTTGCCTTTTAATATATACTTTATCACCACAGAGAAATAAAAGGGCTTAAAGAAAAAAAATTGACACTCCAGAACCCATTTAAATTCGCATGTGTAGGGTAAGTTGGCCCGTTCCACAGAGGAAAGAGAAAAAAATTGACACTCCATATTCTATCCTTCCTACAAACGCTCCTGGAGTAGGGAATTTGGAATGGGGGAAGAGTTTTTTCCTCCCTGCTATTGTATGTTTTTAATTTAAAAAGATACAACAAATGTACTTAGTGTGATTGGTTATGATACTTTCTTTTCTTTAAAATGGTCATGGTTCAAATCTCAGTACGTGTCTTTTTAATGAATAAAAAAAAGTAATTGTGAAGACCAAAATGTCCTTCCTACTTTCACTCTCGTTGCAGGAAATTTGAAATGGGGCTCCCGTTTTTCCATTCCGCGTATTATATTATGTGTAGACTAATTTTGAACCGTTTTGAAAAATATGGGTATATCTTTAAGAGGTTTTAATGCGCTCATTGTGCATTTAAGCTCTAATTGTAAAGCTTTTATTATTATTCTAGCATAATTACGCACCCAATTAATTACTAATAATGTTATTAATATTTCCTTTAAGTTCTTCAGACAATGCATTAAGGTCATTCTTCTCACAGTGGTAGCCCTACAAATCCGTGAAGTTAATTGTCTCCATTGATGCCCCGTGTACTAGGGTTGTACATGGGTTGGATGATCCGGATTAACCATTTTAATCACCCAACCCATATACTACGATATGGGAAATATTAAACCCAAACCCACCCAAAAAATTAAAATCCTACGGTTTGTTTATAATTGGTTTGGGTCGGGTTTTTTTAAGTAAAAATCCAACCCAACACAAAATATGTAATTATTCTACACCATAAAAATATATTATAACTAATTAAAATTTCAAACGAATAAACCGAGGTGAAAGGTATCAAAATTCATAAATGTTGTATAATTTTAATAAAATGTGATTTACTTTAACATATGTCTAGTTTTTTCACGATATTTGTTGAAATAGCTAAAAATGTTATAAACGAACGTATCTATAATATATTATTTTATTAATTAAAATTGTACACAAAAAAAAAGAATTACGTGAATCATAGCTATATTAAATCTATGTCTAAATTTTAAGCAGAAGAATGCATTCGATTAGGGAGACCATGAGAGAAAAACATGGCGAAATATCTTAATTTTCTCATAAGTATGACTATATACGACATAAATATATTTTGGATACGAACTCATACTAATAGTTGGAACACGAGTTGGGTCGGGTTCTACGAGGTGTGTAATCCAAAATCCAAACCCAACCCAAAAGAGGTGGGTTGTACAAAACAAAACTCTCACCCAACCCAAAACCATAGTTTTAGCGATAAATACGGGTGGGTTGGGTTGGATGGGTGGGTCGGTTTGCGGGTGTGTTTGTTCACCCCTACCGTGTACTAGCCTAAGAGAACATTGAACACTTATTCTTCATATGCCCCCTAGCCACCAAGTTGTGGACCTTCGTGGGATTGAACAACTTCATTGATTCCGCCCTAGCTGTTATTTTTAGTCTACAGTGGCGACATGTCATGATCTCTGAGATCTCACCATTCCACATTCTCCAACATGTCTGACTACTTTTGTGAATCTGGAAGTCTACAAATAAAGTGACTTTTGAATTATGCCAACCTCATGTCCGTTCCGTCGTCAAACAATTCTATAACCAGGTCCTTAAAGTCTCCTATATTCACCCCCTTCCCCGCCCCCAGATCGCTCCTACCAATCCTCCTCGAACTGCTTGGTAGCCTCCACCAGATGTATATTTGAAGATCAACTTCGATGCAGCTGTCCGTGACTCAGGGTGCTCGTTTGGTCTTGTTGTCTGTGGGTCAGACGGGCATGTGGTGCTAGCAGCCGATATGCGTCATCAGAGAGTAGTCAACCCTTACTTGGCAGAGCTCCTAGCATTAAGAGATGTTATCATCTTCGTCGCCTTAAGATCATTGACTCATGTGATAGTGGAAGGTGGTTCCTGTGTGATCAACCAGATCTGGCAAGGTGTTCTAGAAGATTCCTTTGGAGACCCGGTGCTCTGGGAGTGTCGTCAGATCCTAGACTCTTCGTCAATTTGTAACTTTGTATAGAGTTAAGGGCGGTTCATAGAGCCACCAACAGTGCTGCCCATAGAGTGACGCGTAAAACACTGATGTTGTCTCTCCTAGAGTTAGAGTCGGTCGACTTTTTTGGGTGGCTTCACTAGGGTATTGCTTGAAGGGAATTTCTAGATAGTTTTGTATGTTTAACTCTTATTTACTCTTGATATCACTCGAAAATAATATTAAAAAAAGATATAGAATCTATGAATATAAATCTAAAAAATAAATTTAAAAATGAAAAATATCTTGAAACTAAAATTCATAATAAAAAAATAATAAAAAACACAACTTTTTATTGAATATTGCGAATACGAATATTGCGGGTAATGGGTGGGCTGGTTTTCTCAATATCCAACCATAACCCACCCGATTATACACATGCATATGTATTTTGTCTAGAAATAATCAATATTTTTCTCTAACATATTTTATATTTAGCATATAAATATAATATTTTTTTTATGAAATTGTGTTAGTTTAATTAATTTTATTCATTCTAGTGAATTATTGTCGTACTTAATTACCGGAAAAAAAAATTATTGTCGTACTTTTCTTCTTACGTAAAGTGAGAATACTCGTGAATATCAACATATAGGTTGGAGTTATAAAGAGAAACTATTACTCATGGATAACCGTGGATACCTGAAACCCGAACAGGTATGGGCACGGTTTGGATTTTTTACCCATTTCTTATGTGGATATGGGTATGAGTAAAACTCGATTTACAACAGTAGGGTAACAGATATGCACTATTCATTCTCGACCCGACCCATTGCCATCCCTACTCAGCGGATAGGGAGTCGCCATGGAGAACAGACAGGCAGTTGAGACTAAAGAACGATACCCAAAGGCCAAATGGTCCGAGGGATTTATAATCACATTTCCATACTCAAATTGGAGTTTCCAAATTTCAAGGCACATAGCAACCATATGCAGTCTTGTTGTTGTAGCAGCATACCGTCAATCACCAAAAATAACATCCCAATTATCAGAGTAGACAGACGGCCAAAATGGTGATCACTGCCTGGATCCTAGAGTTCACACTACTAATCACAAAAATACCTATAATGGTCTTATAGACAGTAAAGAAAACTGTGTAGTATATGAGTTCACAGTACTGCCATCCGGAGTTCATTCCATAACTGTTTCCATAAGGTAGGACAAACTCGGTGTAGTATATGAGTTTCTTCCTAGTAAAGCCAAGCGAAGTATATAGCCCCTACCATGCTAGGCAGATTGGCCAAGAGATTTCTCATCGACTCTTCCTCCTGCCAAAAGTTCTAGCAGACAGATCCCAAAACCATTATTTCTTGAAAGATAAAGCAACAATAGTGAATCTCTTGGAACTGTTGAACAAGCATGTTCTCGTATATTGTGAATCTGTCGTGTATACAAAATGCAGAGGCCCTTTAACTTGTAAGGAGGTAACACTAGCCACAACAATACCCTATCTGGTACAGCAGCTGAATTCTGATCAAGATTTCCCTTCTATGGAGAACAAAGAGAACAACAAATGAGGTAACAAAAGAAAACAGAGGTGAAGGGAGTTACCTAGTCAACAAAACCTCATTTAAAAATATAAGTCAAGTCCCGCTGGGTAACTGGCCTCTTCCACTTTGAATTGGGATCAACTCCTCAAGATGAGGAGCTCTTTTTTCCTTCATATTCTCTCCTTATAATCTCGAGCACGAGTTCATTCCACGTATCGACTGGACCAGGCATGCACCAGTGCAAGCAATCCTGCGGGGGAGGTTTTCCATCGGGGCCAAACTGAGTTCTCTTGTTCGGATCAAGACTCCGGAATGGCCCCGGATGCCCATCATGCCGATAACTGAACACTCCAGTAATATCCATCATCACAAACTTTGATTTGTTTGACTTCTTCTGGATGCCACGAAGGAACCCTGTCATCTGTTTCTCGTGCATTTTGTCAATATTATCGTTCTTCACCATCTGTTCAGGCTCCAGAGGCCTCGTCTTCCCGGTGCAGGAGCCACCGGTATCCCAGGCCCCACCTTCATAATGGGAGGGTGAATATGACCGCAGGATGGCCAACCCGGTGAAATTTGGGTGCGTGACTATTGATGCCACAATGTTCTCTACAGATGCCCCGAAAGCTTCGATGTTGTTGATTTTGGCTTCCCGAGACTTGTCCGGCCACCACAGCCGTCCTCCCACTATTTCATTGTTCAACACATAGACGGATTGCTTGGCGAACCAGTGACCTGAGGAGAGAACGACAACATCGAAGGTTGGGACGAATTCCATGAAGTTCTCGTCTGGAGTGTCGAGGTGGACCTTTGTGACGCCCTCCGGTGCAAAGTCTATGGCTTCTGGTGTTTGATGGACGAGCCATGAAGACCACATTCGGACAATCTTGGTAGATGTCGATCTGAAGTAGTATCTGTGCATTCTTCTGTTCCCTTGGTTTCTTGGAACTTCCACCTGAAGAGGTAAAAAAATAATGTCAGATTCCACTATCAGTCTATGCAGATGGCGAGAGAAAAAGTTTTACTTGCCTGCCAGAGAAGACAGAGCAACGATTCCATTTGGTTTCGAGCTACTGAATCGCCAATGAACGCTATAGTTTTTCCTCTCATCAGTTCAAGGAACTTTTTGGCGTCGAAGCGAGGGAGGTCGCATTGCGATGGTTTCCAACGATAACTCTCGTACTCCCTATCAGGTCTTCCATTTCCTTGGCAGTTCTGCATCCGTGTAATGACTGGGCAGCTATTGTTCGTGTACATGGGCCCAAGCGGATCATAGAACCAAGTTCCCTTGAATAGATCACATCCTGCAGGTCAACAGATTATGAGCTAAATGAAAATGAAGGGGAAAGCAATGAACCAAATATAAATACAGACTGAATAGAAGACATTAATGAAAATTACGAAAATGCAAAGCTTTTCTGTGAAGCTCAGCCAAAAAGAGAAAAATAGCAATGTTCCAAATCCAGTCAAGAAATAATATCTTGAAGGGAACCAAATATAAATACAGACTGAATAGAAGACATTACAAAAAAGCAAAGCTTTTCTGTGAAGCTCAACCAAAAAAAGAAAAATAGTAATGTTCCAAATCCAGTCAAGAAATAACATCTTGAAGGAAAAGTTATTCAGTTGACAGTATGAGGGAGGCTTTAAATAAAGATAGCAAGTTCAGATAAGAGAAGTATCATCTAGAGTTTATTCATACCACCTATGTCAGATAAACAAGACAGAAATGAAGGGAATGAACTAAATGGAAGTGAGCAAGTTCAGTTTAATAATCCAATTCGTATCTCGGTCGCTCAACCATCATATTACATGCACGTACCACGGAGTTGAAGGGACATTCAGATAATACGACTGGAGAGAAATGTACCTGAATCATCTGAACCAGTCATTGTAGGAACCTCTTGGCTGGCTGCATATGATGTTTCTCCCCCACTCTTCAATTTGGGATCTGGACCAGATGGGACAGAGCTCGCCTCTGAAACCTTTGCACCCTTGGCTAATTCTTCATCTACACTAGCAGGATTCTTGATACCTAAATCCTTCACATCAGCGACACGATCGTTCTTCTGGAGCTCCTCTTTCATTTCCGTATTACCAGCTGGAACTTGCACGTGACCATCTTTCTTCATGGAATCCTCTCTCAGTTCTTTATTACTATTTGGAACTTCCACATTTGATTCCGAGCCAGATGGCAAATAATACCTCACACCCTCGCTTACACTACCATTAATACCGCTCAAACTCGTGGGTTTTAATTCAAAATCAGACCCAGATGGCAGGCTCTTATTATCACCAGCGTCTACATTACTATAAGTATCTGTTTGATTCTTTGGAATCACTGCAGGAAGAATCACTTTCAGTGTATCAACCTTGTAAAAGTATTCCTGAACTGTAGAAGATAACGGATTCGAGACCAAAAGCAATGAAGATAGGAACAGAAACACAGCAAGGCCCGCCACTGATGCAGTAATGTAAGCAAGGGATTGTGGGAATGCAGCAGAAGCTGCCATGGTGACAGAGCCTTTCGGCCAATCCGAAGTCATTGTTGCATTTGCTAATCCAGAAGAGAACTTGCGCAAATGGGGAAAGAAAAATCCCCCATTCGGTTGCTTCTGAATTGGACCTATCAACAAACCGGAAAACCGTTCGACCTCCTTATATTTAATAGGATCCAAGCTTCGAACTCCTCTAGATTAATGAACACAAGAGATCAAAAATTGTCTCCCCTCTCGTCCTGGGCCTGAAAGGAAAAGAAAAATCCCACCCATTTAATGAAATGACGAACTAGAACAGAGTAAATTCAACTCCTAAGATTTGGGATAAAAGCAAAATCCAAGTCCAAGCTCAAAAGAGGAATCTGCAAAATTGATCATTCACAGACAGTAACAGAAAATGCCATTTCCTGGGTCTGAAACCCCTAGACTACTCCGGCGGGGAAAGGAAAAGAAGTTATTTACATGGAAATTCACGAATTGGGGATCGAAATTCTTCACCTGGGAAACGGGTAAACTGCGGATGTGGATTTGCATACACGGTAGCTTCCGTGCGGCGGCCGGCGAGCTTCGAAGACGGAAACCGAGAGAAGCCTGTATTGGATCGTGGGGGAGGAGAGAGGGGTTTTAACGGAACTTTGTGAGGAGCTCTGGGAGAGACGATAAATGGCAGCGATGTGGCCGAGTTTCCCCATCGTGTGATCTTTCGTGGGAGAGTGAGAGAGAGCGACTCCATGGGAGCGAGGTGCTGCAGCCTGCAGTTATATTTCTGCTGCGAGATCCTTTCAAGTAGGGATGGTAGGGTCGATTTTTTTTTTTTTTTTAACCTAGCAAAATTCCTACATACCACTTGAGTGATAAGGGAGGGAGGGAGGGAGAACAAATTGCTAACAAGCTTTTTGGTTAGTATATATACTAACAAGCTTTTTGGTATATATACTCATGGGTTAATTGCGTGTAGGGATGGCAATGGGTCGGGTTGGGTCGGGTTTTGCCAAACCCAAATCCAAACCCATGGGTTTATCTTTGAAAAAAACCCGGGGTAAAACCCACCGGGTTTGAAAAACTCAAACCCAACCCAACCCGTTGGGTATCCGCGGGTTCATGGGTACCCACGGGTTTTGTCGTAAAAAATTTACAATTACAAGTTCTTATCAAAATTAAAGTCAAATATCAATCTCTCAATATAAATTATCCATATATAAAACACCATTCTAGAAAATTCAAGCAAATCACAAATTAAATATACAAATTGTTCAACACCAATCTAGAAAACTCATGAAAATTGAAGCAAATCACAAATTATCCATAAATAACATGTTTAATTGAAAGCTTCTTTCTTTCAATTAAGTTTCTTTAGTCTCCACTCCATAACATCAACTTCATTCTACACAATTAAAAAGAAAAAATTAGACATGTCTCCACAAACATAAATAAGAATAGTTGTTTAGAATATTAAATATACCGAAAAAATTAATTATATGAGTGGGCGGGTACCCACGGGCCGGGTTTACCTAAACCCAAACCCAACCCAACCCGGTGAATAGTGAACGGGTTTAAACCCAAACCCGGCCCAAAACCCGTCAACACGGATTTTACCCGCGTTGACTGGGTTGGGTCGGGTGGGTACCCGTGGGTTCGGGTTTTGTTGCCATCCCTAATTGCGTGGTTGGTCACTGAGATTATAAAATACGTTTAAGTTTGGTCACTCGAAATATTTAAATCCATTGATGATACTTCAGTTTATTGAAACAGTTCATGTTTGGTCACTCTCCGTCCAACTCCGTTAACTTTTGCTTACGTGGCGGTCAACTCTAAAAGTTGACCGTTATATGTGTGACGTGGCAATTAAAAAATTATTAAAAAAAATAAAATTTAATGTTTGTATAATTTCCACCTCATTTTCACAAATATTAAAAAATAAACCACCCTAAATTTTGTATTCCCTCCAACAAACCTCAGACCTTATTCCATCAACGTCCCAACGAGGATATCCTCCACCGGATAGAAATTCCTCAACGTGTCCAGCAGAAACCCCCCTGTGCGCGAACAGTGGTGCGCGGATCTCCACCCCGACCGGCACGCGCCGCCGCCCCCACACCAGCTAGGAGAAGGTTTCCAACCCCCGCATGGCTCCCCACACGGTGGCGGCGGTGAGATTTGCGATTGCGGAATCGGGGATGGAGAGGGTGTAGCCGTGTAGGACTCGTCGACGTCGTGGACAAGCGCAGCGGCGAGGTCAGCGGCGGAGATGGAGAGGGATTGGAGGGAAGAGGGCGATGTGGAGAAGTTGGTGGTGGTGGTGGTGGTGTCGGATATGGCGCGGTGGCGCTCGGAGGAGATGAGGCTGTGGTAGCGGGTGACGGCGGCGGAGAGGTAGTGGTTGGATGATGATGAGGGGGAATCGAATTGGAAGGTTCGGGAGAGTGTGGCGATCGTGTGCAGCGAGGACCAGGATATGAAGGTGCAGGGTTTGGGCCAAACGTTGCTCGACGAGGTGTTAGAAACAAAGTTTCTAACAGGTTTGATAATTGGGGATTTAGGGATTTGAAGAATAGAATTAGGGATTAAGAAGTAGAATTTGGGGAAGAATAGAACAGAATCGGCCTAGGCCTTTAGAGGGATTGAGATCGAGAATTGAGAAGATAGGGAGATTAGGGTTTAGGAGATTCTTTGATAATTCTTTCTTTTCTGCCTATGACGTAAACACAAATTACATATATATAGGGAAAGACTGGAATAAACCTGATAAATAACCTAATACGACTTGAATACTACTAACCCTAATAATGATTATCCTAATCGTAGTAATAATAATAATAAACACGAAAAAACGTGTTTCTAACATCCCTTCCCCCTTGAGACCAACCTTGCCCTCAAGGTTGATTGATTTGACCCACTTTTCCACCTCTCTTGTGCGATCAGTGCGTTGACTGCTTCGTATCTTGCGCTTCCTCTTTTTCCAATTGCGTTGAAGCGACAACTTCAATTCTTTGTTCCAACTAGCACATAGTCCCATTAATTACTCCCACCCTCCCATCTTCTGAAAATGAGTAATGTTTATGTTACCCACCAACCGTAGCTCTTCAATCTTACTTCCCTGCAACCCTTCACATTCCAAGGACAATTCCTTGGATTCTTCCAGCAAGGCTCCCATAGAAGTTTCCTTCCCCACTATCTTCATTTCAAGCTTCGAATCAACCACTTCCGTCATGGCTACCCCAAATATTTCACCAATTAAACCAGTCCTTATCACCCGAATATTAGGCCTTGTAGCAAGGCTAAGCTCCCTGCATTTCTTTCCCATCTCCTCACTCCTGACCAAGCCATGCGTCCACCAGCATAAGCAGACACCTCATGTTTATCGATCATTAGTTGTGGGGTGGAAATGGAGCGCTCCACAAAGGTTTCCACAACGACGAACGGGGCGGCAGCTACTTGTGCAACAACTACAATGACGGCGACATCCCACGGCGAGCGTGCCTCTGCCTCAGCATCTTGAAACTCGATAAAGCTCGACTTCGTAGTGGCCACATGAGTGGCAGAAATCTTGTTCTCTTCAGCTACAGCATGCGATGGTGTTACTATGACAGAGACGAGTGTTGGTGTTGACAATGACCATACCTGATCCGGAATTTTGGCGTTCACATCCGTCCCTCCAGATATCCTAACTCCATCGTTGTGCCCTTCCAACGCCATTCCAATAGGGACCAACCACAATGATTTCGATGTAGTAGCCAATGACCAACTGTCCTGACCATGAACGCCATCCCCACTAACCATGGGATGACTTGGCTGCAGCTCGATCTTTTTCTTCCTGGACCTCCTGCTTGCAACGCGGCCACACGTTACTTTCCTCTCTTGAATGGCAGCTTGACAGAGGTGGCCACGAGAGTGCTCAAAGATCTCTTGAGGCCTATTTGTCAAGACATCAACTTCCTCAATAAATAGAACTAAGGGTTCATATACCATGGTTTTCTCGAAAAGGTCTCTGATATGAGCAAACCCATTACCAACTAAGGGTTTAGCAATTTCACATCCCTCCATTTTGTCAAACATAACACCTGCTATAGTCTTGCAAGCTAGAGTCTTCCCACATCCTGGAAGTCCCTTCCAGAGCATCCCATGTGGAGACTTGATGCTTATTTTATTGTCAAGCTCATCAGCTACTCCCTTCATCCTTGCAACGTCAACAGTGACTCCCATGGAATTATCAACACCAGCTTCAGCTCTAGGGATGGGAAAGTGAATTCCCGGCCACAAATCCTCAACTTCAGTGCGGCCAGACAGTTCTCCTAGTGACGACGGCGGCTACGGGGGCATTGTGGTGATTGATCGCACCCTCCAGATGCCTAACGGCACGACCGCAACTCGCTTTTCTTCTTTCTCCGATGGCTGATTCGGCTTGCCTTCTTTCGGTGGGTGTGGTTGTTTGCTAGGGATGAAGTGGAAGAACGAGCCGCTCGGAGATGATGGGAAGGACATTACCTTCTCTTCGGCTATAACAAATTGGGCAGCCGGATGGGGAAGAACTGGCAGCATCACGATCGTCGCGGTGATCATCTGGTTGTCTACTCCGATCATCTCGCTCACCTGCCCCTTCTGGTCAGTCTCCTGAGCGGGGTCCTCACGGTTCGGCGGCGGTGGCTGCTTTCCCGCTGCGCCGTCATCCGCGACATCTCCTTTCTCCCTTGCGACGGACAGCAAAGACGGGGATTTGACCGCCCTTGTAGCGTCGGGTCTTCCTCCTGAGTCTTCTTCCTTGTTCAACGTCGGCTGCCTGGACGTCTTGGGTGGCTGTTCAGAAGTCGCAAGCAGTTTAGAGGGTGAACCCGCAGCGGACTGCAGAGAACCTGTCGGCGTCTGCTCCCCGCCCGCGCGACTTCCGTAAGCGTCATCGTCTGTGGCACTATTCACAGCTGGCTGCCCGTCGGTCTCGTCGGAATCGCCAGCCTTTGTGGTTGGCGGCTGCCTCTCCGTCGCGTCATCACCTCCACCCTTCGCGTCTGTCGTCCCGTGACGCAACGCGTACGATTTTTAGAACTCCACAATCTGCCATAGCCTTTCCTGCTTTTGAGCCCACGTCAGCTCTGGTATTTCGGTTGAACTCATCTGTATTTGATTGGTAGGAAGCTGTCCCTGAGAGATTTATGATGAACTCGCCTTTCGGAACCAGGCTCTGATACCAGAAGAAACAAAGTTTCTAACAGGTTTGATAATTGGGGATTTAGGGATTTGAAGAATATAATTAGGGATTAAGAAGTAGAATTTGGGAAAGAATAGAACAGAATCGGCCTAGGCCTTTAGAGGGATTGAGATCGAGAATTGAGAAGATAGGGAGATTAGGGTTTAGGAGATTCTTTGATAATTCTTTCTTTTCTGCCTATGACGTAAACACAAATTACATATATATATAGGGAAAGACTGGAATAAACCTGATAAATAACCTAATACGACTTGAATACTACTAACCCTAATAATGAATATCCTAATCGTAGTAATAATAATAAACACGAAAAAACGTGTTTCTAACACGAGGCTGTGGCTAAAGAATGGATGAGGAGGAGGGTGAGTATCGTGGAGAAGAATAGCAGGACGGTGGTGGAAAAAGGTATGGTGGTGGAATAGTGTGGTGAAGGGTTCTTCTTGGTTCTCATTAGCTTCCTGGATGGGTGCAAATCACTAACAAAAACCCAAAATCAACACATCTCAATCGTAACCCAAAAGCAAAGCCACCTAAACACATGTAGAAAGCAAGACGAAGGAAAGATAAGAGACTGTACAGTGGGAAAACATTCTGTTTTTGTTTGTTTTGGATTAAATATTTCGAAGTCTGAAACTCTGAATCTCTATTT